CCAGGTTCATGAACTCCATCATCTATATGGGATACAGAAGACACTGATGCAGAACGTTGGCAGGATGGAGTTTGGTAGTTACAATTTCAGGAAGGCTAGTGCTGAGTCAACTCTGTTACCTTGCAGAAATTCTACACGAGATGAACCTATGGTAAGTGATCTTTGACTTCCTAAGCCTTAGGATGAATGGTTCTATGATAAAGAAGAATGGGAGGTAGCCAGCTCCCCTTTTACTTTTTTGTACTAATGTATTTGGTGGTCTTTTGGAACTGATAGACGCACGTCTAATAAATAATATTTGGACCAAAATATGGTTTTTTCATTGTTACATGCTCACCAACTAATTTACTCTTAAGATCTATCTGCATTTGGTGTAGCCTGTGGCAGAGATAAAAGAAATATCTAGCCTCTATGAATGAGTCGATGAGCGACCTGGTTTCATTTCAGATTATTTGTAATTTGATAGTGTTAATGTGATGAGCTTGTGCTTGTGGTTGTCTTTCAAGTTGTATTAACACAATCTATATTTCAGGACTTCTTAGAAGGGTACAAAGGTGTATATGATAAGATTCAGCCGAGGACTCCTGATCTTAAACTTCCCTCAGATCAATGCGTAAGCTATATTGGTAAGAATCTCCTGAAGAATAATAATACAAGAGACCACTTGAAAGTAACTCTGGGACTTAGGAGTTCTCTTTGTTGTGATAATTTCACAGATCCAGCAGAGTTGACGCTTTCCCTGAGCATTCAAGAAGACAGTAGGAGAGAGGGAGGTACTAAGGGAACTTGGTTTGATGATTTAGAAGAATCAATTGAGAGGACATCAATCGAGGGTTTGGAACACTCACCCTCTTTCAGCAGTGCTACTCCAATAAAAAACTTCGAGACCAAGCACGATTCTGAAGTTTCTGTCCTTTTTGATCCTATCATCTCAATTTGTGGGAAGGAAAATCTATTGTTTCATGCTGCAGACAGTAACCCCCTTTCAGATTTCAGTGAGAGGAATCCTTTCAATCAAGGTATGGCTCATTTATCTGTGTAGAGCTATGTTTCATAGTCTGCATGAAGTTGAATTTCAGAACTTATAGTCTTGTGCATTTTGGACTTTGTGTTTGTCTCTTTTTCAGGACTTAAAAAGCATTCTCGTGGTATCCCAATTAACAATTTGTCCACCACGAGGCAACATTTCAGTTCATGTGAAGCAGGGCTTCTGGACCTCAACAAAATTCACCATGATGATTCATCTTGTGTGTCAAATGATCCTACAGTAGCCCATCCTTCAACAGCAAGCTCATCACATGCTTTTCATGGATTAGTTGGCAAGGTAGAGGAAGGCACTCCTTGTTTCGGAACTGGGAAAAAGAAAAATGGTAATGACTCAAATATAGCTTCTGAAACGTTTCAAAAAGAAGATTCTGGAGATTTTGCTTCCACAAACTCCAAAAGAAAAAATGAGAGAACAGATTATTGGGGTGGGAATTCCAAAGGTGATGTCTTGAGAATAAGTGAAATGGGCCTTGCAAGTTTGGAGGCTGCGTCTAGACCCAAGATAGACCTCTGTGAAGCAGTTTGTTGTCACAGTAATGACCCTGGTAATGGACATGACGGGTTCATCATGGGACTCCTAGACAATCAAACTCGTTCATGTAAAGCTGCTACACAAGGAAACCATGAGAACAACAAAGCAGAAGACCCTATATTTTCACATTCTGATCTTAGTCAAAAAAGAGATCAAGATGGACATGGAAATATATCTTCTGCTTCATGTAAGCCGGGCTGCATTGGTGATAATGATTCCAGCAGCATAAAGACTATGCAATCTGAGGTTGAGGACAGAAACTCAAATCCCTTTTGTGTTGATCAATTTTCAGAAACACATGTAGGGTATCAAGTTTCAGAAACCTTAATGGTTGAACAGGACCAAAGATCTTCCAACAACAGTCAATTAACACACAAATGCCTCAACAAGGAAGGAGAATTAGCTGAACTGGATGTTTTGATCAAAGAGGCAGCCGAAGCACTTGTTGGAATCTCATTGGAGAACTCATCTGGTTATTGTCCTTACAAAGTAGGGGTATCAAATAAGATGGAAATGAAGGAGAGTGAGCAACCACAGTATTCTTCTGATTCTTTCGAGTTAATCACACTAAAGCTAACAGAAAGCAGCGTGGATGAATATTGTGTGTCATCAAAGCCTTCTGAAGTAGATTACACGGATAGAAAGGATTTTGGTGTTAAGTTGAGAAGGGGAAGAAGATTGAAAGATTTTCAGAGGGACATACTTCCTGGTCTGGCATCTCTTTCCCGGCAAGAAATTCGTGAAGATATAAACATTATGGAGGCAGTTTTAAGATCAAGAGAGTACAAAAAATTAAGAGCCAAGGCGGCTGATGGTCAAAGCTGGTGTGCTCCTGTCAAAAACAAACGTTCACGACTAAACCATGTTCCACGGAGGAAAAAAACTTTATGAGAAGTTTTAAGTTGGGAATGACATAGATCTGAGCAAGTATTTGTTTGTAACCATTGGCTGCATATAACCTTAAGCTTATGTTCTGACTTTAGAATCATTTAGCTACTTTCTGATTCATGTACTGATCTTAATACTAGTATTGGTAACAGGATAAATGTTAACCCTAATCCCGCAGAGATACAAAATTAATGATTGTGAAGGTGAGTTTGCCAGTGTCATTTGAGTTTTCCATAACAATTGTTTTCTTTATTTTATTTTTCTTCTATTTTTTAGGTGCTTCACGAGAACTGTATAATTCGTTCTGTTAGATTGCTGCAATCTGGAAGGGAAAGAAAAGGATTGTGTGCCTGATGAGTTCACCATAGCCTTAACAGGATAAATTGTGATGAAGCTTTTATTTTACAAGAGCCAAAGTTGGTTTTTAATTCGTATGGTTTCCCAAATGAAATGGGAATTCCATGATATGGATAAACAAAAATTGTACTGATTGATCAAGAGCATAGACCAGAAAATTGACAGCCGCTTTATACTCTGTAATGAACAGATTTTAAGTACACTTTGGTGTGTACTTAGATTGGAGTTAGATTGCAGTGGAATTGAGAAGTCAAGGGGCTTGTAGTAAGTGGTTAAGAGCATTTACTCCTGTGCCCAAGGTCTACGTTTGATTTCCCCCTCCCAATATCGCTTGTAAAAAAAAAAAAAAAAACAATTGAGAATATATCAAGAGCATATTAGAGCATAACCAAGGGAGATGTCAAATACCAAACATCAAATTTAAATTTGATGGCTGATGTGGCAATTTGACATTTACACAGTTTTACACTCCACCCGATATGTCAAATAAATAATTATTGTGACAGTCAAATCATCTATATATATAAAGCAAAAGGCAGAGAATGGTGAAACATTCAAAATACCAAAAAATGTCATTGGTTAATGCAAACATTAAGAATTGAAATTATTAATTAAATTATGATAATATGGTAAATTCACACTTTTTCATATTTAAAAAAATAAAATTAAAGAAAATTCAGATAATATATTCTATTTTTATGGAACACAACTACCCATTATCTTTTTTAATTCTAAAATAAATTTAAAATTTTTTTAAAAAAAAGTCTCTCGCAGGCTCAGAAGCGCGTGCAGAGAGGCTAATTTAAGATAAAGAAGAAAATAATAATAAATGAAAGTAACAGCAAGCTGTCTTTAAAAAATAATAAAATATTCATTTGACATCTTGCTTTTGGGATGTCAAAAGTAACGGCTGAACCTCTAGCCTTCATTTCACATCAACTTTGATAATTCAGTTGGAGTGATGTGAAATGTAATTTCTAGCCGTTAGATGTTTATGTGGCAATTTTGACATATCGATTGAAGATGCTCTTAGACTGTGAAATGTTTGATCTAGATTAGCAATATGGCAACATTGCATGTCAAGTTTTGTTTCTTGTATGCCCTTCCAACTTCAAAAGTCTCAAAGACAAATCAAATCAAGAGAGCATGACTCGTTATTTTGAAATCTTTGATTCAACTCTATAGTTAGCTATCACTATAGTGTTTGCTTACCGAACAGATAAGAAAGCAACGTATAACATACCGAACATAAAGTTTGGGACCTTTGCCCCAAAACAGTGGGCCTGGAACTTGAAACCCCAGGCCGAATTGATATTTCAAAATCTGAATCTGAAACATCGAAATCAATTACAAGATAACATCTTTTAAGAATCTGTCAAATATAGTATAATATGAAATTTATCTTATTCCATTTACCTAATCCAAATTAATTCAATTTAATTACAATCTAATCCAATCTAATTTAGAAACATCTGCTGCATCATACGATTTCTTTAGCATGAAAATCCAAGGAAACTAATAAACAATTGAATAAAGTGATGAGTGGAAGCAAAGCCACTAATTGCCACCCTTTGGGAACAAGCATGCTTCAATCATGAACACAAAAGAGAAATGCCAATAGTCCAAGCCCTGTTTGGTGATCAGTGAGAGAGACTGCTACGATGCCTCAATCATGTCAACTCTCCGAATCCTTATGCGTCTTCTTCCCTGGCTTGTACATGCCCCACACCAGCTTTATGTAATTTTGATGAGATAATGGCATTGAACTAAAAATATATTAGTATGTTAAATTCTCAATTTTTTTATTTTTTTTTTAATGAGATTGTGATTTTTAAATAGCTCCAGTATGACACGGGACTTATAATTGTAACTCACATAGTTAGGAGCATTTATCACGCATAATTGTAACTCACATAGTTAGGAGCATTTATCACGCACCGAGGTGTGTGTTGGAATTTTTTTATTATTATCTCTTGTGTCAAAAAAAGCTCCAACATGCAAGTTCATTCGCCTTTGTTTTCTAATACTTCACTCTCTCTCTCAATCAACCAATTAAGATTTTTCAGATATTGTATTGGTTAGTGCCTTAGTGGGTTGTGAAACTTAAGCCACCGTTGACTAAAAGGTAGATATAATAGTATAATACAGTTGTTTATTTCAAAATATAAGCAGCCTTCATGAAGTGGATGATGAATAATTTATCCACTAAGCCACTGAAGCAACATAGTTTTGATCCATTGGTGGTTTCTGCCACCTTGGTCTTCACGATCATGTTTAGCACTTTAGCCCTCATCACAGCCTCACCTTGTTTTGGCACAGTTGAGGTTGTAAGAAAATTAATTTGGTAGGGTTTGGGATTGGCTCTTGAAGAAGGAATCAGGCGTCTGTGTTTCAATGAACCCAGGATTGGATTTCAAAATTCATGAGGCTGCTCAAAGTAGTTTGAAACATGCCCATCACCTGTTTGGTTGTGTATCTGAGAATAAACAAAAGAGAAGTGTTCAAGAAGTAAGCTTGATTGCTCAAGATGCAGTGGAAGAATTCAGAAAACTACTTGCTCTCCTTGATGGATCATTGTTATCAAACCAGAAGAGGATCAGAAGAGGTCCTTTGCCAAAATCCCATGACATAAACCAGGTTGAACTGTTGGACTCTCCTAACCCTTCATCCCAAAATACTACACACAATTGGCCTCAGCCTCATACCCTGCCCCAGCCTCGGAATTGCTTGGTTAGACAGTTTTTTAGTGCTGTTCATCAAAGTGATCAAGCAACTGCAAATGTGATCCACAGTAATAGCTTTAGCATCGCTAGAGAGAAAAAACCAAACCCGGCATTGCAGCAAGGGCAATCTGAAGCCGGTGTGGTTCTTCCTAATAATTTTATCATGGGGTTGAACCAATTCTCACAAAAGCCTACTAGCACTTCTTTGATCAGTATGGATGGAAGTAGCCCTAACACGCGGATGATTCACTATTCGTCGTCTGAACTCTTGGGTTCTCGAGATTGTACCTCTATGTTTTCTTCCAAAAGGAAGTGTGGGGTGAAAAGTGAAGAAGCCACTCCAAGATGCCTAGTCTCTGCTGGTGGATGCCATTGCTCAAAGCGAAGGTATTGAAATCCTGATTAAAATGCAGTTTTTTATGACATTACATTTTGTTGGTTTACACAATATTTCTGATTGGATTTCTGATTTTCTATCTTCTTGTGTCCTGCTAACGGTTTTTAATTTCTTGTATTTGTTCATCTCCTAACAGGAAACTTAGAATAAAGAGAAGAATCCGAGTTCCTGCTTTAAGCAATAAGCTAGCTGATATACCTCCTGATGACTATACCTGGAGGAAGTATGGGCAGAAACCTATTAAAGGGTCTCCATATCCTAGGTATGTCTATGTTATTTTATTTTTGCCTTTCCATAATGATTTCAAATCTTAAGGTCTAGATTGTCTAATACGTATATTTTCTCTTCTGTTTCATACATTTTGGCTTATTCATCATGCACAAACAATCCATAGCTTATGGCAGAGATGAAAGTTAGTCCATAATTCCATGAAATGAATGAGTCCTTACTTGGCTGGAGAAACAGAGGAAAATGAATTAATTATTTCAACAAAATCACTTCCCTTACTTTGATATGCTTCTTATAGATTATTACTCTAACATTGTCCTTGGATATAGAATTTGCAACAATATATTAGATGATGGCCATGAGCTTTATATGTGCCCTTCTTGAATGTTATATATATGCTTAGCCATTTCCAAGCTTAGCTGATAAGTCTGTCCATGGTGCTTTGCCTTCAAAGGAGTTATTACAAGTGCAGCAGTGTGAGGGGATGCCCTGCAAGAAAGCATGTCGAACGGTGCTTGGAAGATCCTACCATGTTGGTTGTTACATATGAAGGCGACCATCAACACCCCAAGATTACATTTCAAGCACCTACAGTTGCGATTTAAGTTAACCAGTATAATAAATCCAATGGATGCCAACATTTCAGAGCTTGAACTGGTTTTGCAGTGTAAGCTTCTCTTCTGTCCTAAAAACTGTTAAAATTGTAACTTGTAAGTGTAAACTAGTCCTCTGTTCCCCCCCCCCCCCCCCCCCCCCCCCCCCCCTCTCCCCTCTTTTCTCTCTTAATTTCCTAGTTTGTCCTGCTTCTGGTATGTAATTGAGTCTTCAATAATGCTTTTGTCAGATCATTGTATACATTCTCTTTAATGATATAAGCATAATAAAAGGGGTTCATATCTGAACTGTGTCAGGTGCCATTCTTGCTTGTCATTGACAACCTGCATAGGAGCCCTTATACTATCAGTCTCCACCCTACACTCAGGCGAAGTTACAATTACATGTCTTATTGTTGTGAAGAAATTATGCTATCCAACTTCATCACATCAAGTTAAATCAAAGTTGTAACACGAAAACCAAGTTTAATCCCGGAAGATGTACACAAAGAAACCAGATACTCTTACAGATTATTCGACAGATACTAGACCTTAAGAGTTTCATCGGTTAGGAAATAAGTCAACAATGTATGTCATACTAACATAAATCACTTGCTTCCAGAGTTTACTGTACGTTTTCTAATACTTTTCTTTATAACCTTAACTTTGTTGATGCCAGAACTTGGCCAATGAAAATTGCCAATGTGGGAGTGCTCTGCCAGTCTGATTATGTATGTTCCTTCAAATTTTTTATACAAGCGTGTTTGGGCCTAGAATCCCTGTGCCAGCCCAGTTAGGCTGATGGGTTCCTTTTTAACAAAATATTGGGCTTTGTTTACCAAAAAATGGTGAATGACGCATGCTATTGGGCTCTGTTTACCAAAAAATGGTGAATGACGCATGCTATTCAACTATTATGAATTAATTTAAAACTAATTCACACTTTTTACAGTTGAGAAACAAAGTTACCACCAATGGTAATTCAATCCAAAAGATCAAAGCTATTTGAAATAGTTCTTTTCCAAAATTCATAGTTTCTTAGCTGTTAAGGTTTGTCAAGTTAATTTCTTCACCGTTGGTGACTAAACTCCAAGGAGAATTGATGACCTTAAAAGCTAGGAAGTAAAATTCAGACTTGCTTTAGTTGAGAATCACGGCTATTTATTACATTGATCGCCGAAATTTTTTCTATTGCTAGGGTATGTGGATATTTATGGTATCAACATTGGCAGAATCTGGGCATTATTGTTCACTTCATTTTAGTTGTTGCAAGGAACGATCATGAGACATTCAGGAACATTGATGAGCAAGGTGCCAAAAAATGACCAATGCTTTGACTGACAAAACTTTTGCCACTTGTGCATTAAATGAAGATTAGTCCAAAACAAAAAATATCCAGATTTCTTCCGCATCATTTTTATCCTATAAATACAAGAGTGTCTGGACTAGAGAAGAGACACCCAACCAACCAACTAATCAAGCAAAAACTCAACAATCAATCCAAATTGATCAAAAGAAATCAAAGATCATACAATCTTACAACTACCAAAAGTAGGCAAGCAATCTTCCTTGAGAAGCAATCCATCTCAAAAAGAAGTTCAGAAAAAGAAGAAGAAATTAAGATTTCCTTAACAATCCAGATAAGGTAAATCAGACAAAATTCAACAGAGATTAATTCCTCTTACAAATTTGGTTCAACAAATTAGATAAAACAAGAAGAAGTCAAGTATTTCATCATATGAAATCTTCAACAAGCTTTTCAAATACATCTTAATGTCTTAAAATTGTCTAGATAGCTTCTAGATTAATCAGAATCAACCAAAACAGGTACTCATCTGCAGTTCTGATCACTTTCACAGCCTCTTCAAGGCTCAACTTGTTTATAGCTCTGCCAACTTCAAACTTGGTATCGATTTCCTGCTAATCTCCATTAGTTGAAGGTGTCGAAGTGCAATTCCAGTGCAGAAACATTCAGTCCAATCAACAAAAGTTCAATCTAACTTCATCATAAGCCATCATTGCGATAATGTTTTCAAATAGAAGTCAAAGTCCAACACCTCTGAGAACTACATAGATTTAGATATTCATTTGGTGCCTTGTGCTTCAGGTAGTTCTGCTTGGATTAGTTGTTATATCCTCCATAAATTCGTATATTTTGCTTTGCTTACTCATTTTGTTTAGATAAATTGTGAAGTCCTCACCAGTCTGAGGGTTTAGGCATAGAAAAGAAACTCTCCTAGGAGTTTCCCCACCCCAAATCACAATAGTTTGTTTAAAGTCTATTACTTGGGGCGCAAATATATAAAGTCATTCAAATCTATTAGGGTATTATCTGCTAACAGTGGCATGCTCACATAAAATAAAGTTAATCCAAGAAACCATTAAGTGGTTAAAAGATTAATGTGGAATTTTACTTAGTCTTCAACAGATTTAAATAAAAAAAGGGTAAACAAAGCTATATTAAAGAAGAGAAGAATCGAATTTAAGACCTGATGTGCAAAGTAAATACTCTTAACTACTTGAGGTACAAGCCCTTTGCATGTTCCTTCAATTTTAAGCTCAGAAAAAAGAATGAAGGGCAACATAATAATGCAAGATAGGCAATGGACTTTCCTCATTACAAGTCCTAGATGGCCCAAGTGGAGCTCCAATGGGCTCAAAACTCAAGGGCCAGCCAGAATGTGTGCCCGACCATGACCAACTCTACGGAGCAAGTTTGAGCCTCCACCAAGTTAATAAGATTGTTTCACTGAATTACCAAATATGCTAAGTTATATTACATAGTTATGTACCTAGCTCAAGCTTCGGCCCTCCGAATCCGATCTGGTACAACCAAATCTCCCACATATGTTTTGTAAACAATTCTAAAGACACACCAATTTGTCAGAAGTGAAGCTTTTCTGCCTGGATTTACCTACCATTTTGCCATCATTGAAGATAAGCAAAAACTAGGAGAGACATTCCAAGATATCACTGCCTTGACACTTGAGATACGTCTGAGACGTAAGACAAACCATCATTCAAGCACACCAAACACTGTGTTTTGATTTTATCTTTTAGTTTCAATATAAGTTTCATGGATATCACTCGTATAGACTTATCTTTTAAGGGTTTTGAGTTTAGGGTTTTTCTGTGCTACAAGTGGGATTTGATTACAATTTCTAGACATTGGATGCTCTCTTTTTCCCCCTTTTTTTCTAAAAAAATTTGTTCATCATCTTTTGTAAGATATAGGATTTAAATCTTTCAATGCAATTGTGTAGATCCTTTTATCATCATATCCTACATTGAATCATTAAGGTCCTTTAAGAAACGTGATTTTTTTTCCCCCCGCAAGTGTGCTCCAACGCTTATTGAATGAAGGGTGTAGAATGTAAGATTGATGCATAAGTGGGTGATGAGTACTAGCAGCAGAAGGTGTAATATAAAGTTGGGCACCATCCTATGTTATTTACTCTCAACCATTAGTGATGCTTGCTCAAGTGGTAGGCCCAAATATCAGTCCTTGATCCATAATAAGCTTAGCCGCATGAAAAACTCCAATTATGGTTCATGTAAAAAAGATATTTCAAAGTAATTTCAGAAGAAAAATATATTATTTGTTTTAGGAAAGCCAACATGATTGTCCCTTGAAACTGCATGCCCTTTTTCTTCCTGATCATGATCACAGGCAGAGACTATGATTAATTTGTAGTCTTGGATAAATGTATAAAGAGTCTAAGTTCACATAAGAGGGAATGATTCCACTTAGGGGAAAAGTGACTTAGAACGATTGATACATTCCTAAGTTGAAGATTTGTACATATCAAACCAACTACTTAGACCATATATCAATGGTTGAGATACATCATTTTCATTCTACATCTATGCACGTCATATAATTTTATGTGATTTGGTGGTAGATATGCACAAATTTTCAACTTAAGTTCATATTAAAATATTATTGATATTACGATTCATATGTGGTAATAAGGATGTAAGTTGAACATTTGTAATATGCTATTAGATCATATATTAATGGTTGAGATGTATATGTGTGCATATATATACATGGGAGGCCAAAGTTAGCCCTAAAGTGGTCTTAGCTCCCCACCTCTTTTACAACCCTCTCTAACACTTGGAAAAAAGAAAAAAAAAAAAAAAAACAAGCTAATGTTCGACCTTGATTTAAGATGATAAAATCATTTATAATTAAGTTTTAATTTTGACCGCCGAATCTAAAAACTTTTGCTCCGCAATTATGCATATATATAATTGATATTACTTGCCTCCTTACCGATAAAGAGATACTGATCTTTTGAATCACAGTTTGACACATATATAAAAAATAATTCATCAAAAATACAAAAATAAAAACTTATGCACACACTTCACATTGCTATTGGTAGAAATGTAGGAGCTTCTAGTGTTTTTCATATATAATTAGGCTGAATATTTCAGATTCAAGTAACATCTAGAAAATCTTTTAGAAAAGAAGTCTAGATGTGAGGCAAAATTATATTGAAGATCAATCGTGAGAGGATAGATTTGTTGAAACATACGTGTAAAGGGAGATTTCCTCGTTTCTCTCAAAGACACAAACACAAAACACTACAAGGGTTTCTGCACTGCACTCATTGAACAAGGTAAAAGTGACTCGTGGAGGTCAACGTTATTGTCCTCTTCTTAATCAACCTTTTAATTAACTAGGTAACTCACAACTTCAACATTAATATAATTTACCTCCCAAAAAAACTCCAATATTGATTTCTTTTTGTATTAACTTGTGTAGGCAATATGATGAATCCATGGATGGAAAATTGATCAATCATCTATTTCTATAGCTATTTCCTACAAATAATCATTTCTCAATAGACGTGAAAAAGGATCTTTGTGTTCAATCTTCCATCATTTTGGTAGAAAAACTTTTCCTTATAAAAGTGAGTATGACCCCCAAATTTTTTGTCCAAAAAGGATGCACATATTTGTCACCATAATTATTTCTCTTTATAGCCAATCTGTTTCCTTTCTCCTCCTCATCATAAACAAGAGGATACAAAATTATATCTTATGTAAATAAGTCACACGTCCTATGAAAACTGATAAGTTTGGAATCACCAAAATCACTAATTTATGACGAGAAAGAAGAACTTACAAGATATACCTTACATTATTGACCACAAAAAAGGAAAAATAAAGAAAGCAAGATATTCTTATGTCTTACATATGCAACATGGTTAAAGAAAGTTGAAGATGTATAGGATCAAATTAAGATCAGAATGATGATTTTGTTTTTTGAATATGTGGTCCAAGTACATTTTGGATAAATTTTTTTGTTTTTTAAACTTGTGAGATATCTTTGACGAAAAAGTGGAATGTAATCTTTTGCTGAGTGAAGCGTTTTAAGTTTGGGATGTGGGGTTTAGGGTTAGGACTAGTATAGAGACTGTAGAAACAAGAAATAACGTTAATCTTTCTTTCCAACTCAAAATTTCCTTTTGTCCAAAATAAAATCATGAAGATACAAATTAAGAACTTGCCACTCCTCTTTAACATTCATATGTGTTTCTTTAATTTATTTATGTATAGAGACTATCTGATTGGAAACTTGATACCATTCGTTGTAATCCTCAGGACCACTTATAAAATTATTATAACTGATAAGTACAGATATATTAAAACAGTGGGGCATATATAATTAATGGCATAGCTCCATTAGCAGCGATATGTGAACAATTTGAAATTCGAATGCAGGATGGCTTGCAAAATATACTGTAATGTTAA